TGCTGAACCATGGGGATTCCCATGTCACAACTGCAGTTCGAGGAACCGTTGGCCACATTGCACCCGAGTATCTCTCTACTGGTCAGTCGTCTGAGAAAACCGACGTTTTTGGGTTTGGCATACTCTTGATCGAGCTCATCACCGGAATGAGAGCTCTCGAGTTTGGCAAGACTGTCAGCCAGAAAGGAGCCATGCTTGAATGGGTAAGCATACTCTCCTAAGACATATGCATGCTTCAGTTCTTTCCGATGTCTGAACTCGAGAAATGGTTGGCAATAGGTCTTTTGCGAAACCCGAAAGGAGGATATGACTCGAAAACGTAAAAAAGCATCGGTCTTTTGGCTTGCAGGTGAGGAAACTACACGAAGAAATGAAAGCAGAGGAGCTGGTGGATCGGGAACTCGGGACTAATTACGACCAGATAGAAGTCGGTGAGATGCTGCAAGTGGCTCTTCTATGCACGCAATACCTCCCTTCACACCGTCCCAGAATGTCTGAAGTGGTTCAGATGCTCGAAGGCGATGGCTTGGCCGAGAAATGGGCAGCGTCTCATAATAACCATTCCTCACAGTTGAACAACTCTTGGAAAACCTCTTCTAGTTCTGCATCAGTCTCTAGATCTGATGGTAATGGCAATGATCGCTCGTCGAATCATCTGTTTGGTTTGGCATTCGAAGACGACGATGATGATGATCGGACTCTGGATTCATTCGCCATGGAACTGTCAGGTCCGAGATAACAGAAAAGCCTCAAGCTTTCACTCCCTTACTCTACACATTCACATATATATATATATATATATATAGATATGTATATGTTGAAGAACTTCTGTCCTAAATCTGAGATTCTGGGTCTGTAATGGATTGGTGTATATACTATAAGTTTTGCTCATTCTTTCTTCTTCTGGGTTCTTGATTTTGGTTGGAAAACATCGCAAAATTCTTCCATTAGGGCAAAAATGGAAACGTTTTTGAGAGATGGAAAGAGACATCATTAATAAGATGCTTTGTGCTGTGTTTTGACTGTTCTCTTTCTGACCAAGAGCTGATGTACTGTACTAACTCATCAGTCATCACCATCATTATCATCCATCACCATCACCATCATCATCATCGAAGTCATGTAAAGTTTTGGGCTTTAGTGTTGCTATATAACAAAGCTCTGTGTGTGTGTGTGTGTGGTCCTGAGAGGCAAATACTGTTTTGTCCAACTTTGACCCTCATCTGTCATTTTCGCCACCAACAATACAAATGGCTGAATCCGTACGGACTCCCCCACTATAATATTGTAATTTTATAATTATTTTTTTTCAATTTAATTACATGGGTAGTATTGTATATTGACACTTTCACATGTAAGGTTAACAAATGTAAAAACTTGGAACTCACTATTTTAGGTTGTCGGTCCACCAACTAGTTCTACTTCAAATGGTGTGAGTCGTAACTCGTTTGGTTCATGGGCCGGTTGGTTTATTTTCAACTTGTTTATAAAATGGATGAGACTGAATTTTTTAATTAAAATAATAATAAACTCGGGTGGATATTATTATTATCCGTAGTGGTGTTTTGAAATTTTAGGGTTGTCAAGTTGACAAATGTTTTCATGGGTATTATCTGAGAAATTTACAATTTATAGGATCTGGTTGCAAGTTTTCAAAAGATAACATCTTTAAACACAAAAAAAAAAAACAGCTTTTGTGAATGAAAAAAAAAAAGGTTCCAGAAAATTGGGGGAAAATGGCGAATCAATCATCTTCGTGTCGTGTCCCGTTCACTGCGTTTCGTTCGGTCAAGATAACAAGTAAGTTTCTATTTCTCCGATCGAAATCGCTGAAGAAGACGATTCGATTCCTGACGTTTTTTTTTTGGTGTTGCTCAATTTGCAGTGGTTTCGCCATAAGCTCGAAAGATTCGATTCCGCCACAGACAGATTCTGCTATGAACGAGGTAAGCTTATCGAATTCGAATTCTTTGACCTTATCCCTCCTAGATTTCTAACTGGATCTCGTGTTATGGGTTTCTGAGAAGTCAATTGCTAAGCTTTTGTTGATTTTTCCGCTTGATTTTGTCTTCGGTCAAGTTTTTTGGATTTTTTGCGAGATTGGGTATTGAGGATTGGTTACAGAAATTGACTACAGTTTGATCATGATCAGATGCTTGCTAATGTGGAACTTTAGTAAAGTGTTTCTGAACATGATGGACCCCAAATATTGGTTGGGTCAACTAGGTTCGAGTTTTCCAAATCATTTGGAGAATACATTCACATAAGTTTCCTCGTTTTTTTGAAACATGCAGCGGGACAAAGTTACGGTGAACTTTTGAATTAAAAATAAAATAAAAAACATGTGCTCATGAACTGTAGAATTCGTACCTACCTGTCTTGATTTTTCTAAGAATTCAAGAGATTTTTAGGTCCTTCGACCGTTGAAGGCTGTGAACTCATTGCTCGCGTTGGTTTATCATTTGATTCTCGTACGAAACAGTTCTGAACTGTAAACTTGTTCACTGATTCTAAAGTGTGTTATTTGGATTTGATTCTGGTGAGCTATTAGATGACATTTTATCGTAAAAGATTTGTAACGTATGTAAATAATTTACAGAACTTTATGCGGAAATTGACGTCACAAAGATCAAACGACATGCTTTACCAAGAACAAACAAATAGGAACGATAAAATACGTACCTGAATCTGTCATTATATTGACACAAACGAAACCCGGTTGTAGTCTTCTGGATCTTTACGCACTTTCAGACTTACAGACAAATGGGAAGAGTGTAAGAATATTTTGTGGTTTTCCACTGTACGTATGATCCAGGGACCACTACCATTTATAGAATTAACTATCTGATATTTCCTAAAACGCCCATCAAGTTATAGGAAATTACTTTTTGATATTTTCACATTAGCTCCTAAACTTTACCGAAATTACGATTTAGGCACATTTCATAAATGATCACATTTATACCTCATCAATAGCTACCGTTACAAAATCCATGATTTAAATCTAATATTGAATCATATTAATTGCGAATATTTATAAAATATTCTAACAATCTCCCACTTGATTCAATATATGTGATTTTGGATTATCTTTAGAGAGCTCAACAACATGCTATTATTTCGTAATTTCATCAATCTGGTCCATTGAACGTATAATATAGGACCTTAGCGGCTTTTGTCGTATTTTGTACGACTAAACCTTCTAAGATCACATATATTAATAAATCCAATGATATAGATCAAAGCTTAGGTATGCTGCATGAAAATTACACGATAAGTGATCTATACGTGTCTATTTTCAACTGGTCCTCTTTAACCTTATGGAGATCTTAACATTTCAGAGTAGAAACTAAAACTTTTAAACTTTATTTTCTGCAGAAAACTTTACTTTAGTCTTTTCCAACACATAACTCCCACTTAAACTATACATCTGATAGTCACCCATATGAGCAACATGCTGAATAAAGACCGATGGTGGTAAACCTTTAGTAAACAGATCTGCTATCATGGAAGTCGTCCCAATGTGTTCAAGACTTATCTGACTACTCTGTATCCTTTCTTTAACAACCAGAAATTTTATGTCAATATGCTTTGACTTAGAAGAACTCCTGTTGTTATTGGAGTACATAACCGCCGAGACAGAAGGGTCTGGAACGGGCGGACCGGAAGTCCAGAACGGACGGTTCACCAAGTCCAGACCTGACGGTCCAGAGTGCGCGGTCTGTCCGTTCCAGAAGGTCTGGAACGGACGGTCCCTGTGCATTTCTGGATGCATTTCTGGACCGTCCGTTCTGGGCTCAGGGTATTTTCGTAATTGAACCGAAATTAGGTTAAAATCACTTTATAAGAAGGAGATTAAAAACCCTAATGATGTAAGAGACTTTGGGCAGCCGACTTTGGCAGTTCTTAGAGAGTTTTTGGTGAGATCCAAAAAGCTCAACAAGTTCTAAGTCTCGTTTTCTCGAAGTGCACAAACCGAATAGAGATTCGAGTCATAGCAGACAAGTTCCAATCGTTGGAATCCATCCCGAGGTGTGGATACGTGTAGAGGGCGAGGTAATCTTCCTCCCTTTCGTGATCAGACGCGTTCTTCGATTGATACAGACCCCGGATCGATTGAAGTCAGCGTTCTAACGTTTCTACGATTCATTAGAAGCATGGTTCTAGGGTTTATTAAATTTTTGTTTTATATCCGCTGCGCAAACCCTAGAATCGATCTCTTAGGAATAAGATTCGCTCTAGAGATCCTAGGAAACCCAACAGTGGTATCAGAGCCTGGTTGCTCTGTTTTGATTTCGTAGAACCCGATCACGCACGTTTTAGGATTTGAATTGTTGTTCATCAGCCGCGAGATCGAGCAGCTCGGTCTATATGAGAGCGTGCGATACCTATTCCACCAGCTGGGTTGGGATAGACTGTTCGAGGCATGGGAGGAGACGCACACCACGCTGACCCTCGAGTTCTTCGCCACGTATAGATGTTGGCTACCCAGAAATGGGTCTGTAGA